GAATGACGATTCATTAGTTTCCACCATGAAAAACGAAAAAGAAATTTAAGTTTTAAATCTATGAAAACTCCTAGATCCTTTGAGATTCATTGAACATTTCAATGGCATGTTTAAATCTCGATATGCCCCTCTTGTTTGTGACTGGGATGCCGAGGATCACAAAGCGGGTGTGAATAACCATGCAACTACATGGTGCCCTCACATGTTACAATCACTATTCGATGTGCCGGTAAACCACACACGCTCCACCGAACTATGACAAACATTGAGTCATACTTTGCTACCTTTGCTTAGAACCATTTAGTGTGCCGGTAAACCACACACGCTCCACTAACGACTTCGCAAGGGCACAAAGCGTAATTTCATGGAATTGCATCAATTCACTTTTGCCTAAGTAACTAAGATTGGGAATTGGAAAAACATTTAGTTACTTTGTATTTCATTATACTTATAATGGAAGGTTTCGTCCTATCCTACCCGTTCGGCTAACGACCCTCCACTAGTCAAGAGTGCGGTGGGTAAGAGTGGATACCCATTCAATCGCCATTTTATAGGCAATTTCCTTAAACACCCCTTATAGACCAGCTTGTGAATGAGGCCTACTAACGGTAAGACTGACTTTTACTCATACATATATATAATGTTAGACCTTTTAATGTTATATATAGTATAGGGTGTTTACACTTTTAAAATACTATATGGTTAACTTTAAAAATTACACTTTTAATTCAATTAAAATGGTTAACCTAAACTTTTATGGATTTATTAAACCTCTTTTAATTATACTCCTTAATTAATTAATAAAACCATAAGGTGTGATTTGAACTTTTCAAAACATTCTAGGTTTTAGAATTTAACATTTCTAATTAAACCTTTAATCAACTTTTAAATTCCAAAACTTGAGGGCAAGTTTTGAAACCTTTTCAAAACATTAGGGTTTTAACTATTTAAATTTCAAAAACAAAACTTTTGGGTTCAAATTTAAACTATAAAACCTAAAGGGGAAAATATGAAACCTTTCATAACAACAAGGATCAAATAACAAATAATTTTAATTAACATAATCACATAATTATCCATATTTGATTTAATGATTTCTTGCAAAACAATTTATCAATTTACTCAAAATAATTAATCAATTATCTTATAAGGAAACAATTATCTTTAATTTGATAAATTATCTTTAATTAGATCAATAATATAGTCAATATATATCATAAAAT